GCTTAGATATCGGCGAAACACTGCCCAGAATTTAGAAATCAGGGTAAATGTAGGATGCACTGGATTATACTCGGGAAACTGGTATCACAAAGTAGAGCTTGTAAAAGCACGACGAATGAGTATGGATCCAAAGGTGTTCGAGAAAATTTTGCTGGACCACAGTTAAAAAACTACGAGTGCCCAAGTGTGCGATCAGCACGCAAATTCTCTAAAGGTAAACATCTTGTGTTGTCAGTTCCACTTCGTGCTATAGCCGTCGGCATGGGCGTCTGATGTCACAGATGAGTTTTCAAGCAATGTCTGGCTGGGTGAGCGGCATATTTAATCCTTTCCCATTTCGCTTGAGCGCAAATTAGAATTACTGGTGAAGACACTCAGAGTCTCGATCGATATCGGCCCATAAAAGGTGGAGCCAATCAGCTAATTTCATCTGCAGTCGGTGAGAACTCGCCTGAGAAGACGGCTACCGTGTTGCGTGCTCCAGCTACACAGAATGCCGATAAGGAGGCAGTTGATGGCGTAGTGAAGGCCACCCAAATCAAGGTTGAAATTGAAGCTTCTTTCCCTACTAGGTAAGTATTTTGGACCCCACAAAGCTTAAATGAACAAAGCCCGCTAAGGTGTTGATGGTCGGGTACGATGCTGCAACCTTCTTTAGCAAAAGTATGAACACGACCACCTTCTTTCAAACCGAACGAACCTACTGTCAAGAGTACTATCAGATAGCACTATCAGTACTATCAGGGTACTATCAGCGTGCGAACTGATCTTCCTTAGGCAGATAGACTGTAGTTGAAGCAAGCCACCAGGAACCTCAATAAGAGGCCAGCAGTTGATGAGCAAAGTTCCCTTTTGTAGGCTTTAAGGTGGTCAGCCGGAGATCAATTACCGCCCTATCAGAACCCATCCCGATAGCACATGACCCAGGTTTGGTCGTAAAGAGTTCCTCCAAGTAGTACTCAGGAATATGCGTAGCCTATGGAACAATGTACACGAGGTGGGTCTAATTGTAGACGAATCGCGTCACGACATACTCGATTTCACGAAAACTTCGTTGTTCCCGGATATCACGGACGGTGAAGCATGTCAACCTGGCTACGCACTGACTAGAACTGATCGCTCCGTGGGGCGTCAAGATGGAGGAGTTTCACTTTATGTAAGTTTACAATATAGAGGTGTTGAGGACCTGCGCATTTCAGTCGTTGGATCAAACTGTTGAAACACTACCGGCTGTTATCTGCACATCCGCTGACCAGTTTACAGTTGTGACGCTATTCAGGAATCCTAGAAATTTGCATCAGCTGTTGTCCTTGTGATCGAAAGACCAAGGTTCATTTCCACAGGAATCGCGGTCAACACTGAGAGTGCGCGTCGCAATTCATCCACACAACGTGTTCTTCAAAATGACCCTCAGCATCGTTTATAATACCGTTGTGCCAAACGTTGCCCGTCGTGAGAAGGTGGCTTCGTGGTAGCCGTCACAACTAACATCCCAATGGTCCCGGTTTTGATGCCTGCTAACTCTATCTGATGGGATGTAATAACATCGAAACGCATCATAGTAGTGGTGTTTTCTAGCTGGCAACACCCAATTTCTATTTGAATCCTGGAAATACTTTCAGGGTAGGCTTTGACTTAATCGAACTCAGTCTGCGAACAGATGTTTAATTCTAAGGAATTTTAACTTCCCTAAGTCAACAGACTTAGAGAAGTTAAAATTGAAGTGTTCATACAGTACTGTCCATGTAGCTTTCCTGTGAACAGAACGTTTTAGGGAGCCATCTTCGTTTGTAACTGCGGTAGTAGTTACATTGGCAGAACAGATCGATTCTTGGGTAAGCGCATTGGAGAGCATATCCCAAAACGGATTGCTAAAATATCGACACAACCAGCAGCCGAACGAGAAAAGGTATCTAAGCTGCCGGCATCATCGACCGCCAGACATCTACTCGAAGCAGGCCATCAGATTGCCCCTAGGTTAACATTTACAGTTATCTATCGAAATGACAACCCCAAAGTATTGAGGTTTGTCGAAGCGGTGGCACTTAACCGGCATCGCCCTATCTTTTGTGTACAAAAGCAATTAATATTCCCCCTGAAGCTTCCTTGGGGCTCATGACCAAAAGATCAAGCTCGTTGATCTGTTATTCTTGCTTCTACATAATTTCGTTTGTGGCCAGTTTCAAATCTTCGATTTTTCTGCTACGTGGTTCATATTTATGTTGTTAGTTTGCCAGTGAACAGATAACACGAAACGGTTCTATCTCGCGGTACCAGTCTTCTCTTTGTCTTCTTCATCCGAAGTTGTTGCATAAATTGCCCGCTGAACTGTGTAGTCCACCCATTTGCGTGTTTTCAATATCGCTTGACAGCTACTTTGTAGATTCGGAATAGAAGGTGGCAATCATCTGTTCCGATTTTAAGCGCAGTGACAGTAATAAGCTCGCGAACTACCGAGCTGTCATTTCGACAGGCGTATTAGTAAAGTTGTTCGTAAAGCTGGTAAGGGTTTCGGTGCAGAACCACTTGGACAAATTTGACCTTCTGAATGCGGTATGCAGCACGGTTTCTGTAAACGACTTCCGTGTCCGACTAACCTACTTGTCGCTCGTGAAAGCTGGGTCGAAGCGGTAGCCACGGTAGGGACATAATATTCATAGTATTTTGATAGGATTTAACATTTCTCTTTAGCTCAGACTTTCACTTGATGTCTTAGGGGATATATGTCCCCGTTCTGAATGATTGCCTGGTTTGTTGGAGAGAAAGCAACTGTGCATACACGTAAGGCGTAGCATTTCACTTTGACAATTTGTTCTTAGTGGCTGTGCATTACGACTTCACAAATTGCAAACATGTAATATGTATCCCTCTTTTCCTACTGGTCAGCATATGTATATATTTTATTTTGCCTGGTGCACAATCACACGGATTGAAATGCACGACCGTGACATTTGTTTACACACATCCCTGTGGTTAACCGAAGCACCATCCTAGTGGCTCATAATCAAGCACTTCACCGTTGACGAGCTGGACGATGCTGTCCGTCTTACCGCTGACCAGGAACACAGGCTGCTGGGATTGTTTCGGCTCACTGTTGAGCAACATTGAGGCTACATTTGCAAACCTAGTCGTAACTCATTTAAGCACATTTGAATTTACCATAATAGAAGCATGGTTAAGATTTTCGCTGCATCGACTTTTGCTCCATTTGTCATGCGAAGCAACCCGTGCGTGAGTCTTCGCTTAAAGATTCAATATTACATCTACTGGCACTTACAGTGGCATTCCGCAGGGCTTGGTACTAGAGCCATTGCTGTTCGCGATTTATGTAGATGACTTGCCGGGAGATCTATCAGTGACATCGCTAAGGTTTGCTGAAGATCTTAAGCTCTGGAATATGCTGGACCTCCCTGGGTGTTCTGAGGCAATTCGGAGGGCTTTGGACAGGCTCTAGGATAGGTCTGCCTTATGATTCATGCACCAAAATGAGGTCTAGTGTTCCGTTCTTGGAATTGGAGCTACTAATCTTCCCACAATTTATGTTGTCGGCAGTGGCGAAGTCCCTGTGGGCACTCAGCTGGTGGATTTAGATGTCGTCCAATCATCAGCTCTCCGTTCTGGCGACAGTTGGCAGAAGGCTGCTTTCAGGGCGCTCCGTATGACGTGGTGAATACGTCGATCCTACGGAGTTTTATGGGCAGCTATACTTTTGAAGTCGTTCTCGGTATTCCTTCGACCCCATTTGAAGTACTATAACCAGGCCTGTCCATCAGGTGTTCCCACCACCTCGCCCATACGGGCTCCAGGAGACAGTTGGTCGTTGCTGGGGGGGGGGGGGACGAAGTGCGCCGTCCACGTGACGGTGTTAGATTCATAGAGTGGTTCCATCCTGTGTGGAACGAGCAATGCCCAGCCACCGTCTTGTTTACGTCAGGTATGCATGATTTCTCAATTAAACAGGAATGCCACTGTTCTGCTTCTTGAAGTAGTGTGGCGTGCCTCCGTCGATAAAATGTGGCTCCCATCCACTTGCCTCCCGGTCTTATTACTTCGGGTTTACACTGGAGGCGGGGTGTGTGGGTGGAACTGTGGGTGGTGCAACGCAAGCCACCCATGGTCCCTCTGTAGGCACAAGCGTTCTGTGGCGCTCTCCGTGAAGGCCACAGTGATGGACATATCCAGACACTGATGTATCCATTCTATTCTGTGCTATCCAGGGCAAATGGACTTGAAGTCGGGTTCTACGAGTAGCTACTAAGTACGTGCAGTGTCTACTGGGATAGCTGTATCCCTTATTCAGGGCTCTGCGATCACCCGTTGACACAACAAAAGCCGCGCAGAGTTCTAAAGCGTTGGAACCCGCTTTCAGATCACGTGGTTAGGAAACCTAATGTTAAAGGTCATGCGCATCAGCTCGATGATTTTGGGTGGCAACACCAAAGCTTTCTTTTCCCCCAACTGACTCGTCTTCAGCTTTCTGTTTTTCGTTCCTCAGGTATCTTACTATTATAAGCTTCTAGTTAATTTCCCATTCTCGCATTATTCTTAAACTGTTTCCATTTGCTTACTTCATATGACCCGTCCAGCAGGGACTGCTGGTGAAGAACCTGTGGACAGTACTTGGCTGATCAGAGTGTGCTGCAGTTTCGTTCTAGTCCCTTAATCGATTTCTGGTTCACCTACCCGCTGAACAAGGAACGCCCACCGGATACTCACATCGCTTTATTTCCACTTAAACGAACATTTATTTCCAGATTTATTCTTTGTATCTGCGGGACACGTTAAGCAGTTGCTTTCTAAGTGCAATAAATTTGCTATTTCAGCACACGGAAACATTTTGTGGTGGTGCTGCGTCGACACAGAATAGGCATGCAGACCCTGGTCGGACTTCCATACTACTCCGAACTACTCATGAGCTCTACTCGGTTACACGAAAACACGAAACGACCATGGATGCATATTTCAGGGCAATAACATGAATACAAATGAACTGCGGTTCATCACTCCAGTCTATCGGGTATCTTGAGCTGCTCCAAATCATCGCGTAGCTGGTTGAGCTCTGCTCGCGTCGCACTGATCGAAGCTCTGCAACGAGAGCATGAATCCGGAAGCTGGAGGGGGCAATTAGGAGGGATGAACTCGTTTATTCACATAAAATCCAACGATAAAATGCGAATTTCATGCATCATTATTACGTCCGTGCAACCTAAATTAACACCCGAAACTGTTGAACATCTCTGTGTAATCACAGCTGAGTCCGTCCATGTCACATACAATTGCCGAATGCGTATAGTATAATCTTGCAGTTATGTGCAATCGACAGAAAAATAGATACTGCATCTCTGAAATATTGTCCCCTTACTGGGGAAGCCAATCGTTATTCGGTTGTGTACAAGCTAATGGAAAATCAAACTGAGTGTTCTTCTCCTAGACCCCTGGACACAGGTTGAGGGACAGGTCTGTCTCCGTAAAGTGTACACAACCTGAGATCACATGCTAATGTGGAATGCAAAGGAATGTGGGAAAATATAGCACACCTGATTGCACTAAGCAATGCTTACTGACATTGGAACTTCAGTAACTCGCAAATAGAAGTTCGTGTGAAACACAGCTGAGTTACAGACCCCTGGAAGAGTAACCAACCTTAGAAGCAGCAAAATGCGGAAATAAAAGCAGATTCGCATACCATAGAATTTAGAAACGCATGTCGCTCAGATTAAAATGCTTTTAAACATTTCGTGAAATGTTACTGGCTTGCATTTTCCAGGCTGGTCTCACACAAAACCCCGTTGGAGGGGTCTTTGACTCGATCGCTCTCAATAAATATTCCTGAGATTTCCTTCGGTTAGACTAGTTACAAGCACACTAGTGCTGTCCTCTGTCGATTTTTAAATGGACTTCTGGATACTGGGCAATTTGTGAATTGAGGAACTTTCGATCGGATCGATCAACTGGCCTTCGACAATCTACTGTCCAGAGGATGCAGAATGGGGTCCACTCATTAAGTGAGCGTTGAGCTATTAATACCATTTTTCAAGCTGTACAATTTGACCTTGTTAACGCGGTTTATTTCAGAGCATCCGCAGTAAAACGCTGAAAATAACTCCAATCGAGGGCATATAAAACGCAGATTAAATCGAACTAACATCACCTCGCTCTATCAGATGCATGAATAATTTAAACTTGCTTGGCCCCCTAAGTTAAAGGGGGAATGATACAACAGAATTCATTGTACCACGTCACGCGTACGAGAAGCAAAATTAGATGACAGATCTACATAATCGTACAGGCAAGATGATCACACGACATCGTGACCGCGTAGCCAACGTTCCAGTAAAATCAGCAACGTTCACTGTCGTTGGAGGAGAAATGGGCAGACAGTAATCAAGAGGGGAAGTTGAGCGGAATGAAAGCTTTTATGTAAGTACCAGTTCATGCGCGTGGTAATTAATTCGTTGTCTGCATTTCGTAATGATACGGTGTTACTGGTTGCAGTACGGCATGAATGACTGCAGTGGGCGCAATTAGTGGGACGAGTGAGACAAAGAAAATCTAACACATGAATTGTGAAATGGATAGTGCACTTTCAGCAACACACCTGCAGTCGTCTAACCTCCCGGCGTAGCTCAGCGAGTTCAGTCAGTATCGGTGTCGTTGAGGTACTTTGGCAATTGTCGAACGAGTTCGGTTGCTGGAGAAAAATAATGACAAAAAATGGGAACGTGTGTAGATTTAAGCAAGTATCCCTGTATGGAAAGCTTTACGCCAAAATATCATAGTGTGGATACAAAAGTTAAAACCGTCTACAGCTTACCGCTAACACCGATCCAGGTACCCCAACCGCAGACTTGAGGACGGTGTCTATCTTCTGAATGGAATTTTCATGAAGAACCGGAAAATAAGCCACCAGTCTATCCATATTTGGACACCTACCATTTCTCCATATTTAAAGGATTGTCCGTTATACATTCTTGATGATTTTACAATGATTCGATCACGTAAAACATCTGTATAGTTCCATTCCATTGGCTTCCAGAAGACTATAAAATAAAATTTATGCAATACATTGCATAGACTACCTGTTATCTCTTCCTTCTCTCCGGATTTAAGAATGCCTGAATCCGGACGAATCTGGAGGTCACTGGATGCAGCTCGAACGTGGAAGTAAACATTATCGATGCTGTCATTGGTCAGGCGGACTGTGGATGATATGGGTTTATCCAGTATCCCTTAAAGGTTGTGAGCAACACAAAAGTTGACACCTTCAAAAACGAGTTCACGGTTTGGCTCTAAAGTAAGTGCACCGTTCATCTGAAGAATGCTTGAACGCTTTGAAATTATTTTCCGATGGTTCTTCATTCGCTGATCGACAGGAATACGTTACCGTAGGGCAAACAATTAAAGCATACCACTGGTTTTGTATCAAAGAAATTATCTGCTGCCAAGTTTTCAGCAATTAATTCGAATTTCTATCCACTTTGATAATTGTACTTCGACAGATCAATGGACACTACGATATCCCTATCGATGGGGTAACTGGACCTTCCCTCAACTTCAAAAGATTCCTTTCTTTTCTTTATGGTGAGATTCCAATAATGACCGACGTTATTCCGTAGAAAGTATTGGGTCTTCGAAATGTAACACCAAAAATATCATGCAAGTTGGTTAAGCAAATGTCGACTGAGATAGAGGATGCACGCATGCCAGCATATAATGTGAGCAGTGGTTTAATTTCCAAGCATGTGTAATTACGTTTCATAAGAAACTGCCTCAGGCGCACCATTGAAAGCACACGCTGTGAATAAATTGCCAAAATTATCATGACGACAACGGACTTTGCGTTGAGGCTGATATGACTGTAAGCTCCTGGTTGCAGCACTGCGACTTGTACCCCATGCTGCTGGAATCTGTTTAAGCCACAACCTCTAAACGGCTGTATCGTGGATGCCGACGCTTGTCTTAGAGTGCTATTAGTGCACTCCACGTAAATCTGTGCGGTCGTGGTTATTCGATGCGATAAAGTGGCGTTCACATACAGGCGTCATATTCGCGTCTTAGTACGGCCAAGATGTACCTCATACAAGAACTGATCATGCATTATGTTCAGCAGAATATTGCCGGAGCACCAAGGAGTCCGGTTTTTAAAGCTGTCACTTTAGAATACTTACAGTGGACAAACATCAATAGTCAAACACCTAGAGTGATGGCGTGTTTCAAGACCACAGTCACTCCACTCGAGGTGCTACGTTGTCATGTCAGTTGTATAATTCCCTAGTTCAATTTCAAATGCGATATGAACAATAAGATAATCCCATGGATGTTCTATCGTGAAAGCGTAATTGATCCGGGGTACGTTACGGCGAATCGACTTATCTCCTGAGAGTGAATACTCGGCACCCGTGGGTCGCACCGCGCTCAAGCAATCAATTCCCACGTGTTCCGCACCAGCAGACCACGCTGTCCTGGTCACCCGAAATGGAAAAAACACAAAACGGAAAAAAAGGAAAAACTGAAATAAATAATAGAACGTAAAATAGCCAATGAGAATCAAGATACGAAAACGGAAATGGAAAATTGTAATTCAGCCAAGATGTGAAGGGAAGAGTTGTAGGTACAAACCGAGGGCGTCAATTAGGCTTTGAAAAAGGCTTCACCAAGACGTCGGCAGTTAAGACACAGAAAGAACGACGTATAAACTGTAACATCCGTAAAACCGGACGTAAGTCAACAGCAAACAATAGCGATGATACCCCAAGCTGCCCATGGAGTTTAAATAAATGGATGACGGCATCGTTCCTAGGATCGAGTGCTGAGTTACCGCTAAGGACCGCTTGCCATACACACTGTTCTCGTTCCTGCTATAAAGCAGATACCCAGTGAAGAACGAGCTTAGCTAAATCGTAAGAGCTCCGTATTTTTGACAAGCAAGGGATCATGTCAAATGTTTTCGAAGAGAACGTTCACCTCGTGTTCCTTGTCCATGGCATAAGCACAATACTCACGTGATACCAATAACTTCATCAGGCACGAATATCCCTTCCGGAATCAGTGTTGCGCACCGTTGATTAGAAAAAATTTATCAAGATCACCCTTTAACGAACCTCTCATTAGCTAATTAAGCAGTTTGTCTACGACACTAGTCAGACTGACTGGTCTATAATTGGCCAGTTTTTGAGCATCGTACTGATGACAATCTCTTTCCATTCAGAAGGTAGTGTACAGCTGCCAAGTGACTATATTTTGAGCGGTCTACTACGTTTCGTCGCCATCTCATGCAGAAAATTCGCGTGCATTAAATTAAGACTAGCTGCCTTAGAAAGGCATCTCCCACCAGCTTCTCCAGTAATTTCAGCAGCATGCTAGTCAAACTAACCGGTCCGTACATTTTAGCAATGTGCTTGTCACGATTCTTGAGAATAAGGTATACCACCGCTCATCTTCAGTCAGAAAGTACGAATCATTGATTTTCTCAAGCAGGAACGTGATCGCCCCACAAATCTCAGCTGCTAGTTCATCTAATGGTGTGAATAGTATCTGCCCAAATCGCTTTGCTAAGATTTTGTTCCCGCAATATCATGAGCACTTGAGTCTCACGAAGAGAAACGTCGGTCAGCGAATCGGAAATACGGTCTCCAAATCAAAAGGCGACAAATCGGATTCCGTAACAAATACCCTCGCATACTGTTCCGTAGACAGACAGTCTTTGGCCTGGTTTGTGTCAGCATCAGCGCCGTCGGAACCATAGGAGACTGGAAGGAGTGAGTTTATATCAGTCCTGCTCTGACATAG